TGTTTAAATGTCTGTTTGGCTGCCAATGAACAGTCCCCAAAAGAACATTTTTGCATCTCAATAGACTGTCCGGTATCAACAATCTTTAAACTATAAATTTAACGCCTGTAGAAGAAAGAGGGAAATGGCATCTGCTTTGTGCTCTCTTGGTATCACATTTACAAGATAAACCACTTTGGACTTATCTAGAACTCTGCATCTGAAGATCTCAAATGGCCTGACAAACATTAATTAACTAAGCAGCACAGCACCAGTCTGAGGAGGACAAGCATTATGTTCCCCTAGAAGAGAGAGATGAACAAACAGAGAGGCCCTCCCTTTGACAGCCACTCAACTTGGAACTCAACCCCAGGACTTGGAACTCAACGCCCAGATCCCATGGCTAAATAACCTCTGAAACCATGAAGTGGCAACAGGGCATGTTAAACTGGAAACAGCTTCCTCAATGAATCTACACTGGCAGCTAAAATTAATCACGGCAACATTCGTTTTCCCCATTCCTACATGAAGAAATGGGCCAGTAACCCGGCTAGCTGGGCCTGTGAAAGGATTTGGGTGGGTGAGTTGGCTTCTGAGACATTCTGTTCTGACAAACGACATAAAGAAGTTTCCTTGAACACTGGCATGCCATAAACTCTCCCTGCAGAGTCACAGACTAAACTTAATTATATTTCTTAGCTCTATTAACAAGTGAAAAATGCATTAAGACACTGGCAAAATCTTTGTGAAACACAATAACATATTTTGTCTCTACTAATGTGATTATCGGCTAAAAGACGAAGCTTTCTAGGTTGCAAAATCTAATTTCAATGTCGATTACAAGAACAAAATCATAATTTTTTATCCCAGAAATAAGAAGAATAATACAGCTGCATTTACATAAAAGTCTATCTAGGAAATAAAGTTCTGTTGCATTATACATTTTAGAAGAAATTGGGCAGAAAAGGCGCAACACTATGTTGATTCTGACTACATTATACTAACTGGTTTAAAATAAGAAAGAACAATCTCTTTGAATATATAAAACCAATTAATGTTTGCTTTAAGCACTTGTAATGTTAAGTATGTCAACCTACTCACAGAGCCAGATTTTAAGTGTAAATGAAAACACTGCATTTTCAGAACATTTTAAAAGCTTGTTCATGTTCTACAGGATCTATTTTAGAAGTTTTAAGAGTAATAATTGAAAGTTTTTATGCAAACTTGAACTGTTCAAACTATATCTAGCAGTCTAAAGGCTTTAGTATTTCATCTGACTCATAAAACTAATTTTGTGTAGATATTCTGAAATTTAATTTTCATAAGCAATCACAAAAGAGAAAGTTATGCTAATGTATTCCTATACCAAAGCACAGCATCAGTGGAGGTCACTAAGATAACTGAAAACTTTCTAACAACATCAATACCATAATAAGAGAAAAACATAAAGTTAATCCCTAAATGAAAATAAAGATGCTAGGTTATCGCTAAAATTAAAAGTGAAACCAAAAAACACACAAAACCAAAGGTAACATTTTGAAATGAGTCTCTTCCCTTATTTTAAATACAAAATTTTTGTAACTAAAACTACTTTAAAATTAATCAGAAAGACCAATGTTCTGAAACAAACATTAAACTGATATGCTATGTAATGTGATCCTAATTACACTGTCTACGTTTTAAAATATTTTCACATTTACCAGCATACTGATAAACTATTTTAAATGAATATTGTCTGTGAAATAAATTTTTCATATTTAGTTCTTGATATCGCTCTACAGTAGAAAGAAACAGCAAAATTTTACTTTTAGGACTAGAATTTATATGCATAATTGTGTTGGACAAGTATAATTTCTCCATCAATACTATTATATGGATTTTTAAAATCACTATTAAGCTTATTTTTCTATTTCTTAAATTGTTTACAATTTTAAAACATACTAAACTAAAAGGTACTTCCAAGTCTAATTCTACAACAGAAACTCATCATTCTACCTTCGTTCCAAATAATGTAAGATGTTACTGAATGTCTAATGTCTATATTAGCCTTGTTTGGGGGACACAGCTGGTGGTATACCTGGTTTATTCTTGACTCTATGCTCAAGGATCACTCACTCCTTTTGGGGCTCCTGAGAACATATGCAGAGCCAGGATCAAACCTGAGCTCAGCTGCCTGCAAAGCAAACACCCTACCCACAGTTCTATCTCTTTGGTCCTCTAATGCACATACTTTTATAGGTCTCATTACAACCTCCAAAACTAGGCCTTCACAAGTACAGAATTAAAGTTTACTGGGGTGCTTTCTTTAACCTTCAGGGAAATTATATTCTGGTGGGTAGCTCTGACTGATGTCTGAAGTATGAATTAGGGCGTACTTGCTAGAATAGCCTAGTCCTTTCAATTTCTGCCACCAAAGTAGAATTTTCCTACTTTATTCCTGAGAATGTTCTCTAGAACATTCCCTAGAATGTTCTCTAGCTTTATAACTCCCTTAGGTATCCTAGGAAGCTCATCCTAGGAAGCTCATCAGGTAAGACATGTGCTCATTAAATATTATCAATTCAGTTAATATACTATTTTGCAACTAATTTAATTATCTGTACTTCCTCCTTCACATATCAAATAACTGATTTTTGAAAAGCACTATTCAAATGCAATAAAAGTATTCTCTCTCTCTCTCTCTCTCTCTCTCTCTCGCTGTGTGTGTGTGTGTGTGTGTGTGTGTGTGTGATCAAACTCAAGAACCCACACATGAAAGATAGAAATTCTAATGCTGAGCCATGACATCCCCACCAAAGGTCCTTTTTAAAAATTCAAATGTTCCTGAAACACAGAAGAATGATCCAACACTAATTATATTTGTGTGCAAATGTGTGTATGTGTGCTTGTATGCAAATCCCACAGTAAGAAATTTCACCATTTGCAAAATAAATAAATAAAAAACCATGTTTAAGTATCTTTCACTGAAGATCTGTTATTTCAGCAGCTAATGTGGAGGAACTGAAAAGCCAGTTGAAACGGAGCAACAGAAACTTGAAGTCAGAGAAATTAAGGAAGTGGAAGATTATTAAGAAAAACAATTTTTTAAAAAAGTAACATACCCCCTGCCTGCTCAAAGAATTCCCCTTTATGGTCAAGTTTTTGGATTATTTCACTGCTTAATGAATTATTCCAAGTTTGTAGTGCAGGGTGGCAGAAAGAGTTTGATTCAGTATAAACTACAGACATCATAGTGGATGAAAGCAATTTTGAGGAGAAGGGGATAAACAGCTGTGTTTTCTTATTTGGGGGAGTGTCTGAGCCACACCTTGTGGTACTCAGGGCTTACTCCTGTGCTCTGAGGACAGAGGACTCCTGCAGGACTCAGGGCAATGTGGGGTGCTGGGGGATCGGTCTCATGCAAGGCAAGTGCCCTACCCACGAACTATCTCTCCTGCCCTGTGGACAGCTCTAGTTATATGGATGTTAAAAAAAAAAAACCCTGATACTGCAATCTCGAGGTGCAATATAAAATGCTTATAAATATATATCAATACATTCCTGCTTTAAACCAGAAACTCTAACAGCCAGTAGAGATCAAAAGTCCTGACACGTTAAGAAAATAATGAAAATAAGAATGCAGTAGCGCCGGCTGTATATTTGTCTTTAAGAAGCTTCCTGAACGGAACATCATCTTAAAGGGCAGAGAAACTATTTCTCCACTTTCCAAAGTTATGCATAAACTTGCTCCTTCCCTGAAGGTAGATTGCTTTGTTTCTCAGCATATGGGGCCACCCTCTTCTAAATTCAAAACCTTCCCTTAGCTTCAGGGGAAGGCTGCAGAAGGGTAAAGAAACAGCTTTCCTATTCCACTGTCTATCTACCAGGAAGCGGTGTTCCTCACTCCCTAAGGAAAAAAACCTGTGAAGCCCAGGGAAGCTTCAGAGAACCTGCAGGAAATGAGAGCAGGGTAATGGAAGCAGAGGAGCTAGTCAGAGAGGGAGAATTTTTCCCTAGCATCTAAGAAGAGAGAAATCCCTGGTCTCTTAACTGTGGTTCAAAGCGCTGGGCTGGCTGGAGAGATTTCCTAACTTGACTCTTGTAAAGGTTAGCTGCTTCTGATCCTGTCTTCTATCTAGCAACAGAGCTTCCAGAAATCTCTCATGTTTATGTTGGGTCAAGGTGAAACTTCCAAGCAGTGGGGCCTTAGGCAAAAAAAAAGCATCACTTACTTGGAGCTTATGAATTTGCAAAATCAAAAATAGTTCCTGAGAATTTCTTGATGCAGCATGAAGCAAGCCAGAATCTTATCCTACTGGGAAGATTTGTTTTGTTTTATGCCCATAGGAACTACCTTTAACCTCCACCCCCCCACCCCCGTCCAAAAAAAAAAAGATGACAGTAAATGGACAATTCTCTTTAAATGTTCCACTTCACACAACTCTCATGTACATTTCTCTTTTTCTCCCTCTCTGAAGCAACTAAATAACCATAAGCATTGCTTTTTGTACAAATATCTGCTGTGAATTGTAAAAACCTCTGCATTTCTGTATTGACATCTCACCAAGGGATTTGCATTTTGAGTGATTTGCATCTCGGCTGCTGATTTCCTTATGAACCACCTACTATGTCACACCACCTTCAAACTGAAAAAGTCAATTTGTTATTTTAATGTAGCCCAATGTGCATCCTTCTGGAATTCTGAACTGCCCTGCTCCTAGTGTGGTCTTGCTCTTTTGCATAATCACCAGAAATGATTAGCCAACATGCAATCTGAGCAAAGAGCAGTGAGATCCGAGTGACTGCCTAACCCCTGTCTACCACCCCACCCCCACCAATCCCACCTGAAAAAAGTGCCCAGGACACACACAGACACATATGAACTACTTTCTGTGATGTCAGCCCCCTGAGTTTTCATCCCATTGGGGTACAGGCCATTCAATTTCATTTCCAAAGACTCTGCTAGGAAATCTACAGAGCGTGGCTGCACCCCCAGTTCCCCTGCCAGAGAGATGAATGAATTAAAAATTAAACCTTCCTACCCGTAACAGGGACTGGGATTCCTCCTTGGACTTGCTTTCTCCCGATGCAGGATACTGCTGGGTGAGGGCCCCGGACTTCTCGCCGCCAGCTGGCACCCCCGGAAGGAATCCCTTGGTCTCCACAGCCAAGCCATAAATAGGTCTCGCCAGATGGGCAGCTTCTACATTGGGGCTATCCCTTAGAGTCTTGGCCTGCTCTTGGGTGCCCGACACAGGCGTGAGGAGGCCCAGGCTGGCCTGTGTGTAGGACGGACTGGCCCGCAGGATGTCGGCCGCCCTCCACGTCACGTTGCGCAGGTCATCGCTGGAGCTCTCGGTCCAGACCTTTTCTTTGAGTCCTTCCTTCTCTTCCAGCTTCTCCCTCTTCACCACGCTCTCGGCCACCGGCTCCCCCATTTTAGAGTCTGTGTTGAGCAGACTGTAGACCTTGAGGTCAATCTTGGGCTCCTCCTTGATGGTGGAGATGGCATGACCGTCCTCTTCGCCGTTGGCTGTAGTGATCTCCTGTTCCTGGCAGTGAACAGTGTTGAAGTGCTCCAGTAGTGACTGAGTATCTGCAGCTGTGAAACTGCACTGACGGCATTTGTAGCAGCTGTGCGCTCTCCTGAAGAAGAAGGACAGAGTCACTGGGAATCTAGCGAATTCTGGAGCTCAGAAAACCACACACACACACACACACACACACACACACACGCACGCACGCGCACACACACACGCGCACACACACAAAACCCAGTTTTATGCACCTGAATTTCATCTCATGAAACATGATAGGTAGAACGAAATGTCACTGTCTCAAATCCAAGAAATGGGAATGCAATTAACTGGCATTTTCAGTTCTAAATATAGAAGGTGATGTGCCCTTTTGTTACATTAGTAAGATACACACATGCATGCACACAGAGGCACTCTGGCTGGATTCACATTAGAAGTAGTTGGTTTCCTTTATGATGAGAAGATCTGCTGTGTTCCTTTTACCTGAAGCAGAGAATCATGGATTCTGTATTATTTACGTATTCTTATTTCCACTGTACTTCATCAGTGGGACGTTTTCACTGACTATTTTAACTACACTGAGATATTTCAACTAAAATTACACATGACTTCCTAACGCTGAGGGGAAGCACAGCTTTAAAAGATATTAAAATAAAGTGCACCTGATTACTGTGTTCTTTATTACCATTAGGTTTAAATTATTTAGTCATAAAATATGGTCAATTGAGCTGTATAACCCAGTAAAGAAAATATATTAAAAGCAGGATTTTCCTGAACATTCTAACTATCTGTAAGCACACATACACAAAAAAAACTCAACAAAGTGAGGGTGCTAGGTGCAAAAAGCAATACTGAGGCCATACAATCATATTCATCCAAAGGGTGTTAGGTGTGTGCTTACATTTAAAAGATATGCAAGGAAAATGATGAATTTCACAGCATCCTCTGCTGTTGAAGGCAGAACAATAACTCTTGGATTAGGACAGATGTTTGATTAACAGAGAGAGCCTGTCCTCAAAGACCTATGGGTGAATGCACAAAAGATCTGGAATCCACAGACCCCAGATCTCCAGTGGTTCCCAGCCTTCACACCCAACCTGTGCCATATTAAGGGCCCACACCACACCTCCTGAAGTGACAGATCTTCTAAACAAACTATATACTGCTTACAAACTATATGCTTCTCTTCCCAACCTCAATAGATGGAGAAGACAGGGCTTGCAGCATCTTTTTTTTTTGGGGGGGGGGGGCTGTTAACCAGAAAGACTCACCCCCAGCACAGCAAGAACACTAGAAAAACAATACAGAAAACATGTAGAAGCCAACCAACCTCAATGGACAAAAACAATACCACGGAAGACATAAACCAGTCAATTCTCTGAGTCTTAATGACATATAATGAGTTCAAAGTAAGGAAAGCACACAGGGTAGGCAAAACATAAAGTATGAGAGTCACAATGAAGAAACTACTACAGTGAGTAATGAAGGACCTGGTGGATGATATTTCCAGAAGTCAATAGAATCTCTGAACAACAGAACAACAGAAGATGAACAAAGGACTGAGGTTCTCCAAGATGAGATCTTGGTAAATGCTGAGGAAACAGCAGAAAGCGAAAAATCATCCAAAAAGAAATGAACAGAATATCAGAGAACTATGAGATAACTGTAAGAAGGAACAATATAAAAATCATTGAAGTCCCTCAAGAATAGGAAGGCAAATGTGAGGAAGAAATAAGAGTTCAAGAAATCATTAACAAACCTTCCCAAAATTAAGGATTACAGGCACCAAGGTCCAAGAGATCCAAAGGGTCACAGTGAAAACAGACCCATTTAGCTGGAGCAACAGCACAATGGGTAAGGCGTTTGCCTTGCATGTGGCCGACCCGACTGAGATTCCCAGCATCCCATATGGTCCCCTGAACAATGCCAGGAGTAATTCCTGAGTGCAGAGCCAGGAGTAACCCCAATGCATCGCTGGGTGTGACCAAAAAAAAAGGAAAAAAACAAAAAACAAAAATGAAAAACGAAAGAGCAACTTGCTTCTTAATTCTTCCAAAGAGCGAATTGCTCCTCTCTGAACGTTTTGGGGCTGGAACAATAGCCACGGCGGGTAGGGCATTTGCCTTGCACGCGGCTCACCCGGGTTCAATTCCCAGCATCCCATATGGTCCCCTGAGCACCGGCAGGGGTGATTCCTGAGTGCAAAGCCAGGAGTAACCCATGAGCATTGCCGAGTGTGACCCAAAAAGCAAAAATAAAAAAAAAGACCTATTTAGGAAAACTCCAAAACACGTTACACACAAAATGACAACATCCAGATTTTGGCTACTGTGAAGAGTGCTGCATTGAACATATAGGTACAGATATTATTTCTACTGTGCTTTTTTGCATCCTCGGTTTTTTGCATCCTAGGGATATATTCCGAGAAGTGGTATTGTGGGGTCATATGGAAGCTCAATCTGGAAACAACCCAAGTGCCCTAGAACAGATGACTGATTAAAGCAACTTTGGTACATCTACACAATGGAATACTATGCAGCTGTCAGGAGAGATGAAGTCATGAACTTTGCTTAAAATGGATAGACATGGAGAGTACCATGCTAAATGAAATGAGTCAGAAAGAGAAGGACAGACATAGAAGGACTACACTCATTTAGGGCGTATAAAACAACGTAACATGAGGCTGGCACCTAAGGATAGTATATACATGGGACAGGAAGATTGCTCCATAGCTGGAAGCCTGCCTCATTAGCAAAGGGGAGAAGGAGCTGAAATAGGGAAGGGATCACTAAGAAAATGATGGCTGAAGGAATCGGTTGCGATGGGAGATGTGTGCAGAAAGTAGATAAAGGACCAAACATGACAACCTCTCAGTATCTGCATTGCAAACCATAATGCCCCAAAGTAGAGAGAGATTATGGGGAATACTGTCTGCTATGGAGGCAGGGGGAGGGTGGGAAAGGGGAGGTATAGCAGGGATATTGGTGTGGGGAATGTGTACTGGTGGAGGGATGGGTGTTTGATCATTGTGTGATTGTAACCCAAACATGAAAGCTTGTAACTATCTCACGATGATTCAATAAAATTTAAAAAAGTAAATGACAACATCCAAAGATAAATACAATATGAAAGCAGCAAGATCAAAAAAGGAACTTACATATGTAAGTGATAGTACAGCGGGTAGGGCGTTTGCCTTGCACACGGCCGACCCAGGTTCGATTCCTCCGCCCCTCTCGGAGAGCCCGGCAAGCTACCTGAGAATATCTTGCTTGCACGGCAAAGCCTGGCAAGCTACCCATGACGTATTCAATATGGCAAACACAGTAACAAGTTTCACAATGGAGACATTACTGGGTCAGCTCGAGCAAATCAATGAACAATGGGAGGACAATGACAGTGACATACAAAAGAAAGCCCATAAGATGTCCAGCAGATCTATCAAATGAGACCCAATTAGCCAGAAGAATATAAAGGATATAGTACAAAAACTCAATGAAATGAACAACTCACAGAGAATACTCTGTCCAGTTAGATTATCATTCAAATTTGAAGAAACTATACAGAGCTTCATAGAAAGCTGACAGTTTAGGGAATTCATAGCCTTGAAACCAGTTTTTCAAAAATTTCCATCATGTGTCATTGAGAATGGCACTCACTAATGGTGCATCTGGTTGTCCTCTACTAGATTAGGAAAGGTTAAAAACATATAGCAATTAATCATCTCAAATAGATTTTTATTAATTTATTTTCTGATCATCCTGTCTGCCATCCTTTTAAAGTTTTCTGACTAAGGAATATGAACTAAATTTGCTTTCTGCCTGCCAATGGGAGCAAAAAAAAGTTTAATTTATGACAGGGAAGATATGATGATTACTGCAATAAGATCCAAGTACAAAATAAAATTTATTGCAATATATTTCAGATGCCAGAATCGAAAATTTAGTTATGTGAATGAAAACAGGCAATATACTATATTGTATTAAGTGATTTTAATTTATTTACCTAGGTTAAAATTATATGGCAGTCAATCACTACAAATGGGAACCTGGGGGTACTGGTGAAGGGAAGGAGACACTGGAGGTGGGGTTGGTGTTGGAGTATTATCTGCCTGAAACAACTCTATTGTGAACAATTTTGTAAATCACGATGTCCTAATAAAAAATAAAGAGTATGGAAAACTCTCTACCTTACACTGTACCTTTTCTAACTGTAAAACCTTCTGTTACTCTATAAATCAGTGCCAGTTAAAAGAATTGCTACTCCACTGATAGGGCTGTGAATTCCATTTTAAATTCTCTTAGGCATTAACAATGTAAACTAACAAGATAAGTTGTGGGAAGAGTCACTTAAAGTTACTGCAAAATATGTAATAAAATGTCATTATAGACACAGTATGAATTTGCAGGTACTGAGACACATTAATTTAAAAAAAGACTAGTAGTGCTTGTTCTTAAGTTAACAGGAATGACTAGCTTCACAAGGGAGTGTAAAGAGTACTAAGCAGTAAGAATAGAACAGATAGGATGATAATGGGGTAGAAGTTTACTCTGGGTCCTTGGAAAGGTGTTCCTGAAAGAGGAAACCAAAGTACCTATCTTTATTGCAGGAAGAGGAAGGGAAAAGGAGGCAAAATTCTACTGAAAAAGGTCATTGCAGAGAAATCAATTAGAAGGATGCTGACCAGGTAGGCAGTTGCCTGGGGCTTTGGAGATCACAGTGAGTACATCTACCCAAAGAATAGGGAAATCGACTGCAAGCACCAGTTTAGCTTGGTTAAATGACTATTTTCAATCATGCTGGGACTGTAATTTTTCCTGTAACTTCTCTTTTGAGAATTATAGAAGAGCTGAAAATCCAAAAGTATATTCCTATCATATGAAAATAGAATTCAAAGATATGTAAAATGACCTTAGCCCAGTATTTTCTAGAGTACTTAATGTGATATAGAAGTACGTTCTTATTACTGTCAGCTTACAGTTTGCTGAGCAATATGAATCTTTTACTTTTTACCGTTTTCTCCAATTCCCATCATTAAAGTTGTAGCACTGTCCTCCTGTTGTTCACTGATTTGCTCGAGCGGGCACCAGTAACATCTCACAACAAATTGTG